GCATTAAAACAATTTCAACTAAATAAGTTTAGATCTATAATTTAAAAGCTAACAAAAAACTTTTCTAACTAAGTCTCGATGTCATATTTTATCAGAACTTTCCCAGCACAAAACTTAAACTTCTCCAATATTATCAAATTCACATGTATAAGCACCACAAAACAAAACACCAAAAGAAAAAAGGAGTGAGAAACATCTTACTCCGACTATCGGTGTAAGAAATGGTTAGTAGCCATACACATACATAATAACAATTAGGCATATAAAACAACAATAATAATATTAATCATATACATAATTTCTCAATAATCGAAGCATATTAAGCAACATACTTAATAATATGATGTAATAAAGAAGAGTGAGAAACATCTTATTCTGACTATCGATGTAAAAAATAGTTAGGTAGCCACACACATACATAATAACAATTAAGCATATAAAACAACAACAATAATATTAATCATATACATAATTTCTCAATAATCAAAGCATATTAAGCATCATATATACTTAATCACATGATGTAATAAGGTTTGTTCCACACATCTCAATATTCATCCAAATCATACCTAACATGGTCGAGGTCGAGAGCCTCTAGACAAATCACACCTAGCATGGTCCTCTTATGCCCAATGAATTATCAACAGAGTCTTTCAACAATCTTGCACCTAACATGACTAAGTTCACGTTTGACATCAACAACATCACAAACATTTTGTGGCTTTCACACTTGGCGTGCACCAACCCAAGCCCGATGTGATCATCACAAAGGATATTTATGATTTATGAATCACTTTAATATTAAACCTTACAACTTGTGTGAATTCATGTTAAATAGAGGATATTTATAGTCTAATTAATTTATTTTTATTCTAAGGATTTCCTATTCATAATTGTTTCTCTAATGATTTACTTTGTATTCTAATCTTTAAGGTTCCATAGGAACCCACGTGCACTTATAGATTTACACTCAGACAATTCTAGGGATCAGAAACATAATTACAATTTATTAACACATTCAAACTGCTAGGGAATTCACAAACAATGTAGAATTATAACATAAGCAATATCATAGATCATAACACAATTATATCACAATAGGAGGAAAATGAACTACAGATTCACTATATAATTACATTCAATTTTGGGTTTAATCCCTCGTGCAAACAATACAAACAAAGAGCTTAGGGACCAATCTCACTACCCTACAAATAACATACCTAGAAGGAGGTTTTCACTCCCCCTTAATAGATGACAAACTCTTAATTAAAATCTCCAAATAGCCTCCGACAGTCTCTGATTCACCTTCCTCTTTAAGTCATAAGATGCATGTGTTAATGATTTATAAGAAACAATCTTAATCTTACTAATATTTTTATATAAAATATTAATCCTACCATATGCGTAGTCCGTCAAAAAAAGTTCAATTAATTACTCCTCACTGTTTAGAACAATAATATAAAACAATATTATAAAAATATCACTCATCATATAACATAACTCCAGTTAATTAATTAAAACTTTTCTATTAATTTATTTTAAAAAATATATTACAAATACAATAACATATATTTTAATAAAACAAAAATTACTAATAAAACTCACAGCATTACAAAAGTTACCTTATTTTTATTTAGATTAATTGTATCAAATTAAATAAGTTTGTTTGGTATGAAAATTCATATAACTTAGTTTTGGGGTTTATAATTTATTTTACAAACTAATTAAGGTAAATTATAACATATAAACTCATTTTTTTCTTTCTCCTTTTTTATAATCATTACTAACAACTTTTTTTTAAAAATAATTATGAAAGGTCTATATTTGTAAAAAAAAAATTATAATCAAACAAATAATGATTATTATTAACAACTCATTTTTTTTTTAAAACATTACATTAAAAGATCAGTCTTTAATTTTGCCTAAAAAAATACTTTGGTTAAAAAAATCATTTTAAAGAAAATATTCTATAAAATAAAATAAACAACTAAAAATACATTTATTCGGCTTAACATATAAATGTAAAACTAATTCGTTATAATCGAGACATGGTTGATGGGTTCGTAATCTTTAGGTACCTAGCGTGATTAAATGCATCTCTTTAAAAGGTTTTTCATACGGAATTGAGTGCATAATAAAGAACCTTTTCCATATCTAGTGGTAGACATTACTTTTCCCATCAGAAGTGAAGTGAAAAAGCTGGCGAATGGAATTAGGGAAAGGAATGATTAGCGGCGATGCACATTATTATTTATTTTAGTTCCAAAGTGTTGTGTTGGACCAAAACAAACTTGGTGGCTTTAATTATGTCCTCATATTCTATGGAGGGGGACTGATATCAAACCAATTATGAAATAAAACGGTTTTAACGGATCAATTAAGGCTCGCCGACAGATTTGGTAATGTAGCCAAGAAACTATAATTCACTTATTTGAGCAATTGGTGTATAAGCAACAAGTGTTTTTGAGTGTTCTTACAAGTTCAAAATATATAGTAGATATAAATTCACATAAAACATGGTTATAAGGTATTTAAGAAAAAATTAATCACCTATACACTGTCAGTGTATTTTTTACACTGACAATCAATAAGATCTTTTAATAGTATCATGTCAGTTGCTTATTTAATGAAATAATAATGAAATAAACAACTTTAAAAGATCTCATCGGTTGTCAATGTAAAAAAAATTTACACTGACAGTGTATAGATAATTAACTTTTTAAGAAATTTATAAACTTTTTTTTAACGGTTTATAAGTTAATTTAGCCAAAATTAGTGTATTTGGTACACAAACTTATTTTAGAAATTTATAATTTATTTCTACAAGTTAATTAAAGTAATAAAATCCACAACATTATCCTCCCAAATACGTTGCAGAATCAATAAAGGTTGCAAGAGTGGAGTGAGCAAAGAATGGGATGGTTTGGCTTGTCAACATATGGTACACTACTAAAGGTATTGACAAACCTCTTGTTTGAACCTGTTGAATGCATCGATTTCAATTACAAGCCGGTTTAGAGAATTTTGGTAACGCCAAAATAAGAGCCTCAATAATAGCATGTCGCAATTGTGTAAAAGTCGGCGAAGTAGAGTCATCCCACTAAAACACATCATTTTCCAACAGTTGGTAAAAGGAAAAGCTAAGGAAGCATAGGCTTTGATGAAACGACAATAATAACCACCAAGCCTAAAAATCCTTGAAGTTGCTTTAAAGAGCTTGGGATAGGCCATTCTAAAATAACAAAAACTTTAATTTAGTTGGATCCATAACAACACCATATAGAAGAAACCACATCCCCCAAACATGAGATTTGCTGCAACCTAAACATGCACTTGGAAGCTTTTGCATGTAATTGATGTTGCTCCATCACATGTAAAATAGTCCCTAAATTTTGTTAATGATCATACCAAGAGGCACCATAAATCAATATATCATCAAAAGTTAAAAAAGACAAAGCGATGTAAGAAGGGTTGAAATGATTCATGAGAGTTTGAAAGGATGTTAAGGTGTTGGTCAAGTCAAATGACATTACAAGTCCCTTGTAACGGTCTTGATGGGTGCAAAAAAAACATTTGTGACGATCCTTTAGAAGGACAAAAAGTTAGAGGTAAGTTGAATATAAATTCATCTTGGAAAAGTATAAAACATGGTGTAATTCATCTAAGAGTTCTTGCATCCACAACTGCAATTGACACTCTTTTTTTTGACATGAATGGTTAGAGAAGAGAATGAGTTGTTCTCATTAACAATATTCCCAATCCCAACTAATAGTTGAATGAGTATCTATATATATGGTCACACCTTGATGAGAGAGGTATCTAACAATAAAGAAATACTATGGTTATGTGATAGGGAATGTGGTAATCCAAAAGAGTTTATGAAATGCTGAATTGTACTATGTGAGGATGGAAATGATATTAGGGTGTGGTTGAAGGGGAGTCAAGTGTAGCCAATGAATCATCATTAGTCAAGACAAGGTGGGTTTGCAATGTAAATATAGCAAATATGGAATTAGTGTGATGCATAAGTCGAATATAATTGTTTTAGTGCATGTAGGGCACTCATTTATTAAGACCTTTCATTTCATTATTTTAAATCAAAATGTTACAAATTAAACACCACTTAGAGAATCTAAAATAAAGACTGACTTTTAGTTTTTATTTATTATATATAAACTTAATTTTTTAATTTTAATTTTTTTTTTACTTTTAAAATCCCTTTTGTAGGAATAACTTTATGTTTCATAGTTTTGATTTTTAACATACTTGTATATCTCTAAGATCGAAATATTTATGTTTTAATATAAAGATTTTCAAGCATACATTTTTTGAAATTTACATTTCTCCATTAGAAAGAATATATATATATATATATGAAAATGCATGGCCTTAGGTCTACAAACAACATTTTTCAAAACCAAACATTCCTAACTTTTACCTAAATAATCTTGATTCAGGACTTGTTAAACTCAAGACCTTACGTAACATGAGTGATGAGATGTCGTGGACTTTACCTCCAAACTCCAATCCACCATACGAGTGTGCTTATCTTAAGAACCGTGCTTTAGTAAAAATTTATCGTTGACCATGGTCCCCACAGAATATCAAGAAGTTATAATGAGATTTGACACTACTATAATTTAGTTAATGTATACGTATTACAGAGCTAAATATTTCTAATTATTTTTCCCAAACTAAAAAACTGAACCACACATAGGAATTGACGGACCAGCCATGACGATGTCATGCAATGTGCCTAAACAAGGAGCTGTCGTTGACCTTCAATTTTCATATTCAGTGCATGGCAGTTATTGTAGTCCGAAAGCATTAAATGCCTTTAACCCCTTAACTGTGAGCAGCACCATTTGTTTTCTTGTGGTTAGTCATAAATTTCTCGTCACCTCTTTAAATCATGCCATGTCCAAGTTCTTCAACCAAAGTAGGTGAGTCCATTAAGTAGCAGTCAGCATCAGAAGCTAGCCACACTCTTGCTCTAATTAACACAATGCAGCATAGCCAAAAGGCAGTACTTACTAACACAATTACACCACCACAACCACCCTTTGAAAGTGCTTTAATTAACCTCACCTACAATTTCACACTCCCTTCCATTTTTATACCCTCTGTGCACCCTCTTTACTTAACTTAATAGTAACCATCAATCTCTTCCAACAATCCTCCAAAAATGGCCACTCTTACCTCCAACGACCACCTCATCTTCACTGCTCTAGCAATCTTCATATCAGCCCTAATTTTCTTCCTCACTCAGAAAACTAAGTCCAAAAAGTGCAACCTCCCTCCAGGGCCCCCCGGGTGGCCTATTGTTGGGAACCTCTTCCAAGTAGCTCGCTCTGGCAAGCCTTTCTTTGAGTTTGTCAACGATGTGAGGCTCAAATATGGTTCAATCTTCACCCTCAAGATGGGGACAAGGACCATGATCATCCTCACCGATGCAAAGCTGGTCCATGAAGCTATGATCCAAAAGGGTGCTACTTATGCCACAAGGCCTCCTGAGAACCCCACAAGGACCATCTTCAGTGAGAACAAGTTCACTGTGAATGCTGCACTGTACGGCCCCGTGTGGAAGTCTCTCAGGAGGAACATGGTGCAGAACATGCTGAGCTCCACCAGGCTGAAGGAGTTTCGCAGTGTTAGGGACAACGCTATGGACAGGCTCATCAAGAGGCTTAGAGACGAGGCTGAGAAGAATAACGGAGCGGTTTGGGTGCTCAAAGATGCCAGGTTTGCTGTGTTTTGCATACTTGTGGCCATGTGTTTTGGTCTTGAGATGGATGAGGAAACTGTTGAGAGGATAGATCAGGTTATGAAGAATGTTCTCATCACTTTGGATCCCAGAATTGATGACTATCTTCCAATTCTAAGTCCATTTTTCTCAAAGCAAAGAAAGAGAGCCTTGGAGGTTCGTAGAGAACAGGTTGAGTTTCTAGCCCCTATCATTGAGCAAAGAAGGAGGGCTATCCAAAACCCTGGCTCAGACCACACAGCCACAACATTCTCCTACCTGGACACACTCTTTGACCTCAAAGTTGAAGGAAAAAAATCAGCACCTTCTGATGCTGAATTGGTCTCCCTATGCTCAGAGTTTCTCAATGGTGGAACCGACACAACAGCAACCGCGGTTGAGTGGGGGATTGCACAGCTCATAGACAACCCTCACATTCAGAAAAAGCTGTATGAAGAAATCAAGAGGACAGTGGGAGAGAAGAAAGTGGATGAAAAGGACGTTGAGAAAATGCCTTACCTGCATGCTGTGGTGAAGGAGCTTTTGAGGAAGCACCCTCCAACACACTTTGTGCTCACACATGCTGTGACTGAGCCTACCAGTTTGGGAGGGTATGACATACCAGTTGATGCAAATGTTGAGGTGTACACTCCAGCAATTGGTGAGGATCCAAAGTATTGGTCCAACCCTGAGAAGTTTGACCCTGACAGGTTCATCTCTGGGGGAGAGGAAGCAGACATAACTGGGGTGAGAGGAGTGAAGATGATTCCATTTGGAGTTGGGAGAAGGATTTGCCCTGGCTTGGCTATGGCCACAGTGCACATTCACCTCATGATGGCTAGGATGGTGCAGGAGTTTGAGTGGGGTGCTTACCCTCCAGACAAGAAGCTTGATTTCACTGGCAAGTGGGAATTTACTGTGGTCATGAAGGAGTCTCTTAGAGCAACCATCAAGCCAAGAGGAGAGAAACTGCTATAATTGTAAAATTTTGCTGCTTCATGCTTTTTAATACAGACAATAATTTAATATTAATTATGATATATATACAGCTTCATCATCATCACCACCAGCATGTTTGAGGTTGATTTGCACACAACTGCAAGTTTCATCTCATCATTGTGGTCTTAATTGGTCTGGTTTAATTTGTTGGAGAAATTTGTTCTGCAGTTGTCACAAAAGTGGATTTTATTATTGGATTTTTACTGTCAACTTATTATGTGAACATCCTTTTTGAAGAAATCCTTATCTCGTGCTAGACATTTCTTTTCCCATTGTTGTCTTCTTGAAGTGAACGCTTTTTCCCCCGCCTATAAAGAACAAAAATGGCAATGGAAGGCGAATTATGCATATTGATTTGGATAAAGTTAGTTATGCTTGGGTATGGTTAGATAAACTTCTACATCATCATTTTTAAGAAAAAAATTGGAAGCAGGAAAAATAAAATGTTTCTCCATAAGATAATATTAAAACTAACTTATATATAAGTTGACATGTAAGATGAGAATATCTATTTCCACTTATATATATTAATATGATTTTGTTTATAGTTGATGTGAAGTTTTTATTACACTTTTTCATGTTGAGAATTAGATATTATAAATTTTTTTACAAAATTAAATATTTATAGATGACTTAACAATCGATGATACATGTACAATAGACTCAACAATAATCAATAATCACTGGAATATAAATTCTCATACCATTTTAAAAAGTAGGTTGAATCGTAATTCAATATTTTTAAATTGATTTGTAATAAAAACTATTTTCTACTTATATACATTAGTGTTACATTATTTCTAGTTAATATCATATTTTTTTTCAACTTATGCATTAACTAATTTGAAAAAAATTTCTCATATAATTTCTTTAAAAACACAAATAAATTTAAGTTAATTTTATTTTATAATTTTTTATTTATTTCATCTACATATTTCTTTTTCTTCTCGAAGTTTTATTAGAAAAAATTATCTAATTAGTCCTTAATACATAAGAAAACAATCCAATGATTCACTTTCTTTTATATATATATATATATTTAAAAAATATATATTATCACATGACTTGTGCATGAGCCTATAATTAAAGTGATGTGCAAGTAGCAATATAGTAGAATACAGAGACAATCTGGAGTGGGATAGATAGCAATGGTTGAAGAGGACAACTAACTGGCAGGCTTAAACATAAGCAGTGAGATGTGACGTACTTAACTGTGTACGAATATACACACGCCACATGCACCACCGCAATATCACTTAATGCCTTATCTTGATTGGCAGTCACTATTTTTCTTTTTTAATTACATCACATTATTCATTTTTGCTCATTTCTCAAAATTTTATCCTACTCTATGCTCAAAAACATGGTAAAAAAGAAGTCATCAACAATGATGAGTCGGATTTGTTGACAGAAATATCAATATCAATATCAATATATATATATATATATATATATATATTATATTCCAGTGAAGCATGTTGATTAGGAAAGAGACAACACATGTCGAAAATTAAAACTCACCAAACATGGAAGAATCTGACAGACATATATAACCTCATCCATTTGGAGCACAGAACAGAAGTGGCCATAGAGGTGGAAAAAGTTATGGGAAAATAAGTGTCATTGTTATGACAATCACGTGGAGCCATATACTGTAATAGTACTAAATTATTATGATTCAAATGTAAGAGTTGATTCCAAAGTAAACACGAGAAATAAATAACAGTAAATACAGTCATCACTTTTTTCTATTGCAATTGATGAATGCTTTTTACAGTATAGGAAGTAGGAGCCACTTTTTACAGCATGAATGGTTTGTCAGGAACCAAATTCAGAATGTTGGGCTGGTTTGTGTGGCTCGCAGTAATTTGTAGCATATGGCTACAAAGAAACATTGTTGTTTTCAAAGTCTAGATGTTGTAAATGTGTTATGAATGGTCAACAATCCATATAATATATAGTAGCCTGTAGTAGGAGTATGTATTTTGTATATGGGTCCTTGTACCTTTGTTTAATATATTTTTGTCTTTGTTGATAAACAAAATTGATGAATGTTTTTCTTCTGTTCGGTGGCAATTGACATAAAGATTTTTTTTTTCATTTTAATGATTTTTAAAAAAATTATCAATGTGTTGTTGATTAATTTTCTTAATAATAATATATTTTTAGTTATATATTATGATTTTTTTTGTAACTTTATAATAAATTATCATAATAAAAGTTTATTTTTACCAGGTCAAAAGATTTTATTTACATTTATTTATAAATTAATGTTTTTATTTTTCAATAAATTTTAATATTTAAAATATTTTATTATAATTGAAAATTTTCATTCTCAATCAAATTTTGAGAAAAACAATACCCATTATAAATATTTTTTCTTTTAATCTTGGTGACATCATATTACTTATTGTTTACACATTAATGTCAAATATAACATTAAAACTTATACATCTTTTTTCTTTGAAATCAATGAAAAATATTTCTTAAATTAAATGACATCTCAAAATATTAATTATATACATAAAAATATTATATCTTATTTATATAAGATTGTCATTCACAATTGGTTGAACTATTCATCGATTCAATTACTCAATTAGATTGAAATTAAGATAAAAATCTTTAAAATAATTATTTGATTCATCTTTTCATTTTGGAATAGAATATACACTAGAACAACCAAAATTATTTGATTTAGTTTAATTAAGTTTTGACAAATTTAATTAGTTAAACTTGAACTAAATTAACAAAAAAAAATTGATTTAGTTGGATTTAACACTTGTATCATATATATATATATATATATATATTATTCTAATAGTGTATCTAATACTTAAGTCTCCGATAAGATAAAATATATAATTAACATTCCTTATCTTTATTAAGCAACTCATAAAATAAATCTACAAAAATACTCAAAGTAATCAAGATTGTTGAGGTGACACTTGAGATGCTCACCTAATTTTGACAAGTTCATTTTTAATTTTTTACATGACTTGAAATTTTGATATAACCATTTATTTAAACTTAAATTTCAATCGAGGAGGATACGATAAATGTGACATTACTAGGTATTATATATAGTTAAATAATACTATATATAATATATAGCCATTATATATAGTAAAACAATAATAAAATTTAAATTTAAATTTAAAATAAAGCATATTTAATTTTATAATATATTTTAAATTAAATAAAATTATTATAAATATAATATATGTCATACGAAATATTATTTATTAAATCAAAAAATTATTATTAATTAATATACAATTGCTAAAAGAAAATTGTTTTGAAGTGAATATAGGACACTAATTAATTAAACCAAATTGAAATACTCAAAACATAACCCAACTCTGTTTTTAAAATGCACAAAGTATAATTTCAAAACATTAACACATCAAAATCAATTCGAAGAACTGGATTAGGGGATCAAATTGCAACATGTTGACCTTGTAGCTAGCCATAGTTGAAAAGGTCAATGAAATGTGACGAGAACAAAAAAAATATTAAATATTTATAATATTCAAATGAAACGTTACCACATCTTGGTGTCTTACAAATTTAATGCATATAATAATAGTTTGGAAGAGAATGAAAAAAGAAAAAGATGATTATAGTTTTTTATTCGGATGAAAAGAAAATATATCAAAATTATTTTTAAAATATTGTATATATTCTCTTCAATTTAAATTTTAAAGTTTTGTTTTTCCTTAATATCTTTCATTTTTATTAAAACAGAGGAATGTATTATTATAAGTAAATATTAACTGTCTTCTTAGGACCATTACTTAAGGAATTAAAAATAAATATATATTTTTTTTAAAAAAAATATGTTATTATATATTCTCTATAATTTCTAAAACTGTATCAATGTAAGTTAATACAAGTGGTTAAAAATTATTAATATGTACCTTTGTTTTACTATATTTTATATTAAATATTTCATCCGTTCGACAATAACTGCATTTATAATATTTAAAAAATGTTTCAAAATGAATGATATTTTTTTTAATATAATATGAATTTTTTTTAATTTATCTCTTTATAAATTATAAAACACTCACGATTAAAAATAATATATTTATCAAAAGAGAACTACTTCAATAAGTTGTGTTAAAAATTGATACATTTATTGTTATCCTTAATTTGTAAGAATAACACCGATGCATAATACTTGTGATGTATCTTAGTAATAAACAATTGTATTTATTAGCAACTCCTATTATAGTGTGATGATATGATACAAGAAATTATTTAAAAATAAGTAACACTGCTTATAACATAAATAAAAATATCATTTATCATGTTTAATTAAATTAATAATTAATTATAATAATTACATTAATTTTTAAGTTGACGAAAAGTGAAATTTAAATAAATAAAAATAAAGTGTGGGTTGCTTATAAGATTTCACTATTGAAGCAAAATTTGTAAAAATATAGTGAGTTACTTAACAATGATGTGATATGATAGATCCCATTTAAAGTAGAATAAGGATCCTAATACGTTACTTATAAAAAAGAGTTAATTACCTATACACAGCTAGTGTAAAGTTTTTTTACACAGGTAACCAATCATATCTTTCAATAGTATCATGTCATTTGCTTATTTAATTAAATAAAAATAAAATAAAATAATTTAAAAGATATGATTGGTTGCCAGCATAAAAATCTTTACACTGATAGTGTATGAATGATAAACTCTATAAAAAAAACGCTAATAGAGATGTTTCAAGGAGAAACTTTAGATTGTGGTTATTGTGAGATGAGGAGTTTAACGACCCGCCGTGATTCTTACACTAAACAAAATCACTATAATTAATTAGCAGAAAGGCTAAACTACTAAAATATACAAGATTAAAGGAGAAAATATGTCATACACATATAAAACCTAATTAAGTATAAAAGTAAAACACTTGAACTAATATAAACAAGTTATATACATGTATACAATACTCCCAAAATAATCTTATGTCCTAGTGTCGGTTGAACATGATTATACAAACTACCACAGTAACACCAACACCAAACAAAAAGGCATCGTCAGCCTTCAAGCAGCAACAATCCTCCAGCCTAGCCTTAATTTGCTCTCATACAATATATGATTATCGCAATCTAAATCACAATAGAAACAGAAGGGTAAGCTAGAGTTTACAAACATGTAAGTATAGAAAAAAATTCCATATCGTACAACATCATACCATAAACATATATGAAAACTAAACGTGCCAA